TGCTGCACATTATTGAAGAGTCCGGAAAGAAATTGCCGAAATCGGATCTCAACAAGACAAGGTATGGTACAACAAAACATTTTGTAATTTTGCAATATTGCCCGTTAATTTGGTTTGGCTTTTATTTAGAACATTATAGTTTATTTGTGTTTTCTTTCTTTTCTTTGTGTGTGGCCAATTATAGACCCCATCTAAGTCACTTTTGGGTAAATGATGTTCATAATCTTAAAGTCCTGAAAAAGTGCGACCCCCGGGGGGGTACTCCCCTAAAAAAATGATGGGGGTGCTTGTCGTACCTTTTTGGGGGATGAAATTTGTGAATTGGTACCGCTTAGGGTGCTAAAACCTAAAATGACCCCTGCTAGGGTTGTCGCAGTACCTCTTAGGGGTCTGTAAGGTCATTATCGGATAAAATAATGAAAGCCATAGCTGCATTTGTTACAAAGATAACGTTTACTTCTCAATTTTTGGCTTGAAAAACGGTCATATTATCGGCAACTAATCTGTTATTCTAGAACTGATACCTCTAAGGGGTGTAAATGAATTCGAAGTCACGCCCACAAAATGAGATTCTGGTAACTTTTAGGGGTGTTTTCGAAAGTTTCCGACGAGTACCCTCGTCATTTTCATGAGGGAGTACCCCCCCCCCCCCGGGAGTGCGACTCCATTCTAGGAACTCTATTAAAAGTGCTTGTAAAAGGGACCCCGTTGTTGTCAGTCCAGTCGTAAAAATGCGACCCCATCCAGTGGCACACCCCCTGAAGCCCATTACTGGGAAGCGCCTCGCCCCCACAGGGGTGGGCGGGGGGGAGGGAGGCACAGCGGTAAGAATAAGATAGCTGGTTTTCGGTCAACATTCCGTCCCCTTCTTCCCCGGGAGATTTCGCTGACACTAGCCCTACTCTCCAGACATCCCGGACACACTAACCAGCAAGAATTTCTTTATTAATTCCAGCAGGAATTTTGATACCGCTGACCTGCAAAAGCCGACGGAGAACAAATCTAGGGCTGAAAACGAGAACAACGAAAAAGAGGAGGGCTCAAACAGCAGTGACGACAACAGTGAGAGGCACGCTGAAATCGACAGTCACAGTGAAGGCGATGACGACGATTTACTAGACTCAGTTTTTGAAACGAAGCAGAATCAGAGAAAAATTACAGAGGAAATGTGGTCTGGAATAAAAGCAGAGTCGGTGAAACATTTACCTGAGGGAGTTGACGGACTGAGAGTGTTCAAGATACCATCAGAATCTCTTAAAAATGAAGGCAAAAATATTTTTAAAGACGGGAGAAACTGGAGTTCGGTGTTGTAAATACAACACAAATTAAGAACATGAAAGACGGTGGCGTAATATGCAGTGCTTGCAATCAGCAATCTGAATATGTTGAATGCCTAGCACGACGTTACATAAGTTATGGCCCCTCGTTCACCAAAATATTTTACTGCGGCAATCATACGTGTCCTGTAATTAAGCCCTTAAGAAAAAACGAGGATCAGGTCAGACAACTTATTAAAGACAACCCCAAGATAAAGCCCTCGGAAATTCAGTCAGCATGTATAATGTCTGCTTTTCGCGAGAAAGCAGACTGGGCAACAGTAGAGAAGGAGGTGGAGGCTACCCTAGATCGACAATGGCTAGCAAATGAAAAGAAGCAAATAAAGCGAGATACCGAGCCTTTCGGTCATGACTTTGAAGCTGTTGTGACATACAAACAGTACTGTGATAAGAAGGACAATTATTATGTATACAAAATCAACGACCGAAGAGGAAACCCGGACAGACCTTCCTTTGTTTTTAAAATGGGGACTCAAAAAGCTAAAATGGCCATCAACATGGATAAAGATGGCAATCAATTCATGAAGGAAGAGTTTTGTTTTTTTGATGGCAAAAGAAAACGCTGTCGAGGTTTTGTCACTCTCACGGCAAGTGTATATTACGGCTTATTACAAAAACAAGTTCCTCTTGCTGTAATGGAAGCTGAAAAAGAGGACACAACCAACATCGAACTCTTTTGGACACTCTTTAATGAAGTTCTACAAAACGTTTCCGGTCATAAAGAGTATAAATTTAATCCCCTTGGCTGGTGCACCGACATGGCGGGGGCCAACTTCGCGGCACTAATCACAGTGTTTGGTGAGGAGGCTGCGTCACGTATTACGTCCTGCGAATTTCACTTTAAAGATCAACGAAGCAAGAAAGCACAGAGACTGGACAATGAAAATAGCGGCCGTTTTAAGGAACTGTGTAACCTTCTTCTAACGAGTGAAACCGAAGATGGCTACGCCAAAAGTAAAGCTGCCATGGACGCATTCATCGAAGAGAGTGAGGATTACGCCTTCTTAAAAACATGGGTATCTCGGTGGCACGACAGACGCGGGTTCATTTGTAGAGCTTTCGCCCCAAAAGATGCCCCCGAAATGAACAAAGCAGAAGTAATACATGCTGGGTGGGCACACAGGGAATTCACCGAACCTAAGCCTTCTCGACGTCTGTCACGCGGATGTCCGTGACACTCTAGTTTTGGAGAAACAACTAGAATCCTACAAGGAAGGTATCCCGGCACCAGGAAACGGACCCTCCTTCGCTGAACGCAAGCGAAGGCAACATGCCAGGCAGCTTCAAAAAGCCAAAAGAATAGGAAAAGAAATGTTTGAAGACAGTGAAAATGGCCACGTGATTGACCCTTCATCTTCTTATCAGCCACCAAGAAACAAGAAACGGAAGGGAAAACAATCAGGAGGTAACCAATCCAAAGGAAAGGTTACTGTGAATTCCGGGCCAGTGGCGTATGGAGACACGCCTAACATGGCCCCGCCTAATATGCCCCTGTCTAATGTGAGCCCACAAAATGTGCCCTCGTGTTTCATGTCTCCTCAGAATGCGCTACCATCTTTTTCGTCTACACCTAATACATTCCCATCCAGTTTGCCCCTACATAATGCACCTGAATCAAATGTGCCTCAGGCTTATGTGCCCCCATCGAATGTACCCCCGCCTATCTCTGTTCCATCAAACAATAGTGGGCCGTAATGGCAACAAGCTTTCCAAAGTACGTTCCCTTGTTTTACCCACTGGCCAAGCTCACCCGCGGTCAATGCTCCCCAATCCAGCCCTTACCCTCCATCGAGTGCTACACCTCACTATGGCAACCAGTGGCATTCCGGCTTGTCTCCTAATCCATATGAGATTGTTTTGCTACCCTCCAACGTTCAAAAATGCTACGGTTGCGGAGCAGCATTTGCCGAGAAGTCCAGGAGTGCTCCTTATAATCTTTGCATTAAACATGTGGATAAGAGGTTGATAGGAAAGAATGCTGATGGGCGTTTGGTTTATAGCACGGATTTTACGAACACTTACTATCACCCCAGCATATCTCACATCAAGCGAAAAAATTATTCACAGGTCAAGTTTACATAGGAAGAGAACTTTACAACTCTCTGGATGCCAGTCACCGCCAAGTATTAGATTCTTTTCAATTTAATGTAACATTAAAATAGTTTACCTCATTTTCTCTTCGGTGTTTTGACCTTTCTGTTGATAGACACTCTTTTGGAGGAATGATTGCGTGACAAGCCAGTCACGTCACGTTTAAGTAACATTGTTTTATTACGGGGTGAATTATGATCAATACTAATGTTAGTATTAAGCGATCATCTTTTTTCATTTTTTAAAAATTATCCTGGGGGACACGATTCACAGGATATAACAAAACAGGAAAAAATGGATAAGTGGGACAAGAAAACATGTTGTTGTTGGTTTAAAATAAAATTAAGTTTCTATCAAGAGCTGTAATGACTACTCACGATTTACACATCTGTATCTGTGTCCCGGGGGGGTACTCCCATACATTGCCTATACGGGTATATGCCGCCCAACGGGGTCGTGATTTTGAACCTCCTGATTTAGAACGGGGTATCCATTTCAGAGGCGTTTTCTAGAACGGGGTATGATATTTCGAACGCAAGGAAGCTCCAGTTTTATAAGCAGCCATTTGAAATTATTCAAGGACATATTGCTTTCAAACTTTCTAGAACGGAGTCTAAAGAACTGAAACTATAAACTGCAAAGGGCTACCAACAATAGAGCTGCTAGGAATTTCTAGAACGGGGTGTTAGTTTTAGGGCGAATTCCAGAACGGAGTATCAATTTTAGGGCAATCTTTTTTTTAGAACGGGGTGCCAATTTGGAGTCCCGGGCGGCACATACCCATCCATGCTGTTTGTTGCAAATCAACACTATGAAGTATAGATAAGACACGTCAATGATAAAGCTTTTTTGCTGTGTGGTTTTTATTTTTTTATTTTTTATTTTTTTTTATTTTATATCGCGATGTCGCGCGACCGCTCCTAGGTTTCCCTTTTCCACAATCCCACGTGTTTTCCATTAGTGTACCGCAACATCTGCAATTTAGCCTCTGCTTCTTTGGTTAGTTCCTCCATGCTTCGCGAGTCCTGTCAGAGGTGCCACTGTGTCGGAAATGAGACAAAAGAATCTGCTATGTTCCGAAACTTCACGTTTTATTTATAAAATCGACTTGATCTCCCTCTCTCTCTCACCGTTTTTTTGCCTCACGCTCTGGTCTCTCTCATTTTAAATATATTATATGATCCTATTGTTCAATCATCTGTCACTTATCGCAAAAAATCAACCGGAAATCAATTAACGCTGAATAATCTCTCACAGCGCATTTAACTTAAATGAATACTTTCTACCTGCTATCAAAACAGAAAGTTAAAATTTCAACCAAATCCTACATTCTTGTGATTTTATGGTATTTCAGAGTACTGGCAATCTTTATATTAAAAATGTTCCTCTCACGGGCCTTAGAAGACATATCTGAACAGATCTGGATCCAGTCTAGTGCAATCCTTTCTTGAAACATGCCGTGAGGAAACTGGATTCTAAAATAAAGCCATTTCTTGTTTTCTTACGCAACAATTTCATTGTTACCTCGACCAGTTCGAATTTTCAAAACGGCTTAATTCAGGATAATCTTCTGTACGATGTCATCTGGTAAACACTTTTCGCTAAACACTTTTTCAGGCACATACCCTTTCTAACAGAATTGTTCCAGAACGAGGTAAGAAAGTGAGTTTCTGTGTACAGCTCTGAATATTATAAGTTATAGTGTTTCAATCTACGTACGCTTTGTACTTTCTTGCTTAATTTTCTCAGTAGACCAAATGTCGTGGATGAATAATAAGATGGTCTATTACAAATGACTGGAGTGACAACATACGACTTCTGAAATTGACTTCACTTGATTTAATTATTTAACTACCTTCAAGGTGATTCCTCAGAAAAGAAGTTATTGGACAATTTTTTGTAAACTTTCCTTAAATGTTCCTTACCAATGTCTGTTTCGAGAAAAAGAAAAAGAGATAGGTCACCTCGCTTGTTTAGGAGATATATGCGTCAAACTTACCCCATTTATGCCTGTACTGGTACTAATCATGCCCGTCATTTCATCGGTTCACTGTACATTTTGCTGCAGCTGGAAAAAAGCTTAATAGGTAGTAAGTTTCGAGTGTATGGAACAATTTAATACATAATTTGTGGGAATTTAAAAGTTAAACGATATCGACTCAAAATGTTCCTAGAGTCATTCGTTTCAGGGTCATAATTTGCTTCTTTGAGTAATGGCTTTGTGCACCAAAACTATGGGAAATAAAACATAGTCACTTTGCTCATTTAAGAGGTAAAGACCATAGCACCTCTTTACCTGGTCCATTGATTGATAAACAATACCATGTTCTTGGAATGCACATATGCTTATTGGCTTGATTATGTGATATTATGCACAGTACATGATGTGCAGGGCTAATTACTGAGGAATCACCTTAACCCTTTAACTCCTAAGATCTCATTAGTAATTCTCCTCACTGTCAGCCTTATAGTTCTTGTAATGAAAGTTTGGAGAATTTGATATTGGATCAACTAGTAATTCCCATATTAATATTTTTCTTTATTCTCATCACTTGTCTGCTTGATATTGTACTGATATTGTAAGGAGAAATTCTGTCTTGGTCACTCATGGGAGTTACAGGGTAAAACTAGTCCAATTTGGCAGGGATAACTTATATGTGATATATATGTAACCTTGACATCTCAAGGTCTCACATGGCTAAACAAGTATGAGGTTTGAAATGATTTGAATTGAGGCCAGTCATCTGTACATGTGTTGCTCTGTGTCAGAGTAGGCAAGATTTCTGTGTAATACATAGATCATTATACACACAGTTATAAGAACATAGAAACATTGGTATAAACAGTGCACTGATTTTAGGACTACATCTTTAAAGTATGGGGTTATAGGGAAATCTTTCCTTTAAGTGTTTGACTGTTCATCTAAAGGATTCTTTAACTCTCCTTGACCTGAGACATTTCCTTTGTCTTATGTACTTCAAATTTGATGATGATGATGATGAGGATGACCAGGGTGTTCATCATACATTGTCACTTATCTAACTTTTAGGACTTTGGCTTTGTCTGAGAATAATTGGGGGTTATAATTTTCCTCAAAGTGCTTGAGTGTTTATATGAAGGATTCTTTAACTTGTCTGAAGCTGAAATATTTCCTTTGTCATATGCTTTTGAAATACAATGAGAGTTGATTGAGTCAAAGAGCAGATTCTTTCAACCATTACACTCCCAAGATCTCATTAGTAATTCTCCTTACTTTCTACCCTAAAATTCCTATGATGTTAGTTTTGAGAATTTGTTATTGGATCAACCAATAATCCCCTGATTAATACTTTTCTTTATTCTCATCACTTGTCTCCTTGATTTAGTTTTGATATTATTATAATGATAAATTTTCACTCTTGAAAGTTAAAAGGTTAAATCTGATGGGGTCTTCATTACACATTGTCACTTTCTTGTAAAAACTCAGATAGGATTTTTTTTATATCCATTATTTGGTCTCACTAATTTTTCATAGAAAACATCTCTTTTGTGATAATAACAGTGATGATGATAATGATGATTCTTCCACTTTTTTTGTTTTTGTTTTGTTTTTTTACCTAAAAAGACTGCTGAGGTGTACATGGAGATCTTACTTTGTGATAATGAAGATGATGATGGTGTTGATTCTCTTTGTTCTCATCACTTGTCTCCTTGATATTGTTTTGATATTACAATTAGAAATTCAGTCATGATTGCCATGAGAGTTAAAGTGTGAAATGTATAGGGGTCTTCATTACACTTAGAGACATTTCTTTTCTCTTAAAAACTCAGAGAGGTTTTGTGTTTCATCCATTTGTTGGTCTTGGTGATTTGACATAGAGAAAATCCCTTGTTGTGAATGAAAAGCAACACAAGTATGCACTGCAGACCTATGTTGGAGTGCTTACAGTGTCCCTTAACAATCACAAATAAGCCGTGAGATAGATTTTTTTGTTCCCAATGCATTGCAGGCCTATATATTGTTTAATTTTTTTAATAATGACAAGAATACATGTAATAATAGCAATAATAACAGTAATTCTCTAAGTGCAAACCAAAAGTGCTTACTGAAATTTTGATATAAGTTCTTACTTTATGTTTTCAGGCTTAGATTGCCTTTTATGAGAAAAAAAAAACTCTCTCACTGATGTGCAGCCATGAACAGAACATGTGATATAGTTTAGAAATCCTCACTTGCATTCACTGTGATTATTGTTATGTCTTCATATTTTTATTTCTTCAGAAAGAAAAAAATTGATGGTTTATTTGTTTGACAGGTCAGATGTTCTTCATTCAGTGTTGTTTCCCAATGCATTGCAGGCCTACTAGCAAAATAAATAAATAAAAATTCCAGATGCAATGTCAAATAGGCAAATTACTTTGGTAGACTATTTTTGATGATAATATAACTATGATAATAATATTTTTATGTTGTTTTCATGTATGTTGTAACAATTGTCTTCAACTTACCACTTGTGTAGCAATAAAATTTCTGTACATCTACAGAAATGACTTTTTCAACGACCAAATTGGATTCTTTTCCAGTCATGCTGAAGATGTTCTGTACAGTATTTGTGGAATGGGTCAAGGCTGTGGTTGATGATGCACTAATTACTGACTAAGAGGATAACAAATTTTCTTCTCTCTATTATGGCTGGTGTCCTTTATAGGCATGATAGTATTTGTTTGAATAAATTTGTTGGGGAAACATGTAGGGGGAAATAATTCAATTTTTTTTTTATCTCTGATGGAAATTTAAGCAGTTTGGAAATCTTAATAAGTGTTACCAGTAGGTTATTTTGTAAACTTCACTAAGGTTTCTTTCCTTAGCACATGAGCAATTTAGCATTGTCAGAGTTAGTGTTTGTTCTATCTTTTAATTAGATGGTCAGGGGGATGGAAATCATTCCTGTTTACATTTCCCCTTCACAATCTACAACTTCCTTGGACATCTGCTTCCTCAGAATATCTCATCCATCCATTCTTGCTAGTTTGTATACTTCAAGAGCAAAGTGCTTAAATATAGGACCACTTTGCATTAAAATGATACATATTGACTTACTTGTTGTTGTTTTCTCACAGAAACAGTCAGAAGAGAGACTTAAGGTGAGATGTCTCACGAATCCAGTAAAGTTGATATGAGCCAGGTGTGAGACAAGCATATTGGCTGAAAAAGAACAATTCCAGAACAGAGCAGAAAACATGTGTGGAAAAGTATGGTGTAGTTTGTGGACTCAAAGATGGCTTTGTATCCAGTAACAAAGAGCAAACAACCTACCATGACACATGAACCTTGTAACAGCCTTTGTCAAGAGAGAGTCTCTGTGGCTCAGTGTCCGATTGTGGGGTTGATTCAGAAAGTCTGAGATTTGATTTCCCATCAGGATTGTTATGTCCCCTACTTGTGATGCGACAAAAAACATCCTTCTTGATCATATTAAACCAAACTTGCTTTGTATTCATTTTATGCCCTTGCAAGCTACTGAAACAAGATTTCAACCTATTGGTAATATAAATAATCCTCTATTTTGCTTAGATCTTTAAATTTTCACCTGCTCCTAGAGTTCACACTCCTAAGATATAGAACTCATTCAAAACTTAACTTACTCAATTATGGCTTATTTGAGGGAAAAGGCACATTATTAGCATCAGCCAAGCAATCTATTTTCTGATATGTTAGTTAACCCTTCAACTCCCAAGATCTAATTGCTAATTCTCCCCTCAAGCTGCTACACATTTCTTTGTAAGTTAGTTATGAGAATTTGACGTTAGATCAAGACAACAACTTCTACCTGAGTATTCTTATTACCTTTTTGCCAAGTAATATATGGATATTATAGGGAGAAGTCACATGTTAGTTACTTCTGGGAGTTAAGGTTACTTCCCACCTTCAGAGACAATGGGTTACTTTTCGCGGGAAATCTTGATCCACCATCATTGATGCCAGGAGGTCCCTTTGTCCTATTGGTGTGCAGTTTCAGGAAGTGAGATAATCTCCTGGCATGGCACAAGTTGTTTGTGAACCTTTAGGAGCTAAAATCTCATGTTTGATATAGGGAGGAATACAACAACTTTGAGCAAATTTATAGGATGTATAGATTTGATCGATTTTCATCAAATTTCCCCAAAGCATCCTAGGAATAATGACAAAGGAAAGTGTGTTGAGAAATTTTGATATTTGAAATATTTGTCTTGTGGAGTCCATTTACGCAACACGTCTCAAATATTTTTAGCTAGTCTAACTTTAGATCCCGATATCAACTCAACCAATCAGAATATCGAAAAAGCCAGACACACTCTTGTTGATTGATGCCTTGTGAATGAGACTGCAGCCATTTTGCTCATGCAGCAGCATCCAATGCCCGATAAATTCAATAGAAGAACCTTTGGTTGCTTTATGCCTTACTGGCTTCTGACACTTCCTCAAAGAAAAGTTGCTTAAGTTATATTTTTATAGTAATCTGCATTTATTAAGCTTTCCTCTGATATATGGTTTCCTATGATTTTGGTTAAACTAGCACGAGTACAAAATTTTTTCCCAAAAGACACCAGCAAAGCTGGGAAGTAACCTAAACTCTTTAACTCCCAGATCAAATTTCTAATTCTCCTAGATGTCAACCATACAATTCCTATAATGTTAGTTCAGACAATTTAGTATTGGATCAACTAATTATTTCCAAATTGATATTTTTCTTTAATCTCCTCACTTATCTGGTTGATATTGTGTTGATATTATAAGGAGAAATTCTGTCTTGGTCACTCGTGGGAGTTAAATGGTTAAAGGATTTAGAATTATCTTGACCTTGTAGTTGTTCATTTCCTGGGATGTCAGCTGAAAGGATGATGGAATCTACCTCCTCTAAGCTGATGAACTTAATTCTCATTACTTGTTTATTCAACAATGCACTTATGTTTTCAGGGGAAGTTGCATTTTCATCACTTTTGGTAGCTAAATGGTTCAGTGTGGAAAATGAATTGTGAAAGTTGGCTGGTATGAAGTGACATAAGGAGGAGCATCAGGGATAGGAGAACCTAAGGAAAACCTAGAGGAGGGAGGCTGGAGGAACTATGGCTTGTCTCTCTCTCCCTCTCCCCCCCCCCCCTTCACCATCATTTCACTTTCAAATGGCACACAGTCCTTAGCACAAATCTCTCTCCATAGACTCTTGCCCTTCAGCCCCCATACTACATCAAAATTCAATATGGTCATTCCAAAACAGGGGTAGTTTGGTGATGAAGTTTCTGAGCTGTTGAATACAGTTGGCTGTGAGTCAATGTAAAAATGATAACAAGAGGCAAAACACAAGGAAAGATTAATGAAGGCCAAAACACCAAAAGAGGTACTGAAAAAAAAGACAGGATTGTGAACTTGTGGATAAACTCTGCCGAAAACAATTGTTTAGTGTATTTTGTCAGACCAAGTCTAAGGTTGCAAAATAAATCTGGGAATTAACTCCAACAATCCAATCCAATTCTCAGTTGTATTTATTTACACTTATTTTAGTAAAATAATAAATTTCACTTAATTAACAAAACTGAAAAATCAGAGAAAAATAAGAAATGCAAAAGTACTTCAAATAAGAGAAAAATGTGTAGTGATCACAGGAACAAAAACTTTCAAGTTGGCCAAAGAATAAGTAGGCCTCCTAAGAATCAATAAGTTTTTAGTGCCCACTGATGATTAGGAACAAAAGTCTGCCATCAGTAACAAAATCTTATCACTAATTATACTTTTCTGAACAGATCCTTTTGATGAAACATTTTCAAACATCATATCAACAACTTCTTTAGCATTTACCTTTTCCTGAAAGTTCTAAAAGATTAAAATATGACAATACTGACCTCCCCACCAAACCCCCCAAGGTAAAGGAAAAAATACATAGAAAACTGCCACTTGTGCATCATCATACTCAACAAAGCCATGCATTCCTGGTTTGTGATTTTGTTTTCCTACAGTATTCCAACTATCTTTTTGATAATATCAGTTATCTTTCTGCTCTGAATTCTGGGAGATTGTTTCATTGATATCTTAGGAATTGTTTTTACTCCTCAGTTTGACTTTGGCAGTAATATTTTGTGCAATGCTTGTTCTCCTTTTCTCCTGTTTTTTTACCTAACAACTCACAAAACAAGTTAGAGTTTAGTTTTGGTGTTTTCTGATTGCGATCCAAAGGAAACTTTACCAAAGTTCTCATATTAGTAAACGTTTAGTTAATTTCATGCTTTCAATTTTTTCATGCTGATTCATTTTAGTCCCCTTAATAGGTCTGAGGGCTGAAATGCAGCTTTCAGTGTCACTAGCTTTCGATTCAGCCTTATTTGCAAGAGCATTCAAAAATAACCATTTATCTACAATAAAATGAAAAATGTCTGTTCAAACTAATACCAGTGTCCATTCAAAAACAATGTGCAGGAAAGATAATCTTTGTGCAGGATCAGTTGTTACTCTGTTTCTTCTCTGCTTCATTGTTGTCCTCCTTGTGTTCCTCTTTCCTGAAACAAACATAATACAATTTCAACTCTAAAGCATTATATGGATCAGAATTTCTAAAAGATTCAAAGTAGCTAGACACACAGCTCAAATAGCTATCAACTTCAAAGTCATTAGGTAGCTTATATCTCTCAAGTTGCTTTCATTGCATTTACTTTGGCCTGTCTATCATCCTCTTGGGCTTCCGTTTGAAGAATAATTTCTGAAGATTTTGCACACTAAAGCAACTTTGATTCAAGGCCAATTTTTTTTTAAATGATTCATCAAAATCTTCTGGTTCTGTGGAGGAGGGGGGGGGGAAGGGGGAGGTCTAAAGAATATTATGGAGCCTTACAGGGGATCAGGTGAATTTTACTGGGAGACAACCAAAATCCTCGAGCAGCACTCAACCCCCCCTCCCCCCCCGGCTTCTGAACAGTCCCTAAGATAGCTAATGTTGGGTAACGTAAGGTAGCTAATGGAAATTTCTTATCAGAACTAGACCTACCCGATGTATGTAAAATCCAACGTCACGTTGTCTCCCATCAGCACAAATGGAGCCCATTGATTAGGTTTGGGAAAGCCGTTGCTTCTCAACCATTTTACGGCCTGGTGAAGAGATTCACTGGCACTTTCTCCACGAACAAGGTGCTTGTAGAAATGATTCATGAGCTGCTCCGTTGCTTCGTCTTCTATGGCCCACGATGCTACCAACACTGAACGTGCACCGGATGCTAAGAATGCACGAGCGATTCCAAGAACTCCTTCGGCTTTGACCAATCCACGCGCACTGTGACAACAGCTCAATACAACCAGTTTTGCTCGCACTTGAGTTCCGAAAATGTCGGACATTGTCAAGAGGTAGTCTTCTTCTTGTGGAAAACTGTTGGTGGTACATTTAGGACATTTAGGCGACAGGGCAATCTCTCCTCTTTCGGCATTTCCATGTGCGGCAACATGTATGAGACTCACTGAAGGTATCGCTTGAAGCACTGCCTGCTTAGTTGCAGACTCTCCTAACAAAGGCTGAACTCCCAACAGTCGACCAACCATCTCTGCTTCCTCTCTAGCACAGGACAATGGTACAAAGTCAGCGACACGTCCATTGTAATACACCTGGCCAACCGTAGGATCACCCACTACAAGTGCACCATTTTCACTGTGATAATCCGCTGGACAATCTTGAATGAGCCGGAGGGTCGTTAGGGAAGGGATGATACGGATTCTGTAAGTCTCTGATAGATACTTTCCGGCTGCTCCATCACGCAA